GTGTGCTCTTCCGATCTTTCATTTAAAAAAAAGTTCATCATTTTACGATGATTTTTCGCGGAGTTACCGTTAACCAAAGTTGATCAATTTTTGCTCAAAATTTTTCTATGCCATAATTTTTTTGAGCAGTGTATAACAGCTCACTAGTAAATAAGAGTTAAGACGTATAAATAAGATATAGATTAAGAAATACATACATGCTTAATACTGCGAAAAAATAACGCAAACGTTAACACCGGTCTGTGAGACCGCTAATTTTTCAATTATTTTATATTTTATATTTTATTTACACGTTTCCAGCAAATGACAATGAGACCATCACAGTGTTTGGTAGGGACAAATGACATAAAAAATAATGACATATAATGACTACCCTTATAGAAAAGTATTACTGAAACTCCCGGCCAAAATATTACTGGCAGTAATTTACAGTAATTTATTACTGAATATCTTTCAGTAGTTTCAGTAATACTTAGAAAAATATTACTGAAACTACTGAAAGATATTCAGTAATAAATTACTGTAAATTACTGCCAGTAATATTTTGGCCGGTAGTTTCAGTAATACTTTTCTATAAGGGTATGAGTGTTTCTTGTAAATCTTAAGAAAATTATTGACAAGTAATGTTTTAATAGCGGTCTGTAAGACCAATATTACCGTTTAAAGGTTAAGCTCCAAGTACTAGAAATTTAAAAGATAATTACTAAAAGATAAGACATTAAAAAAGGCGATATTTATATTATAGTCAACTATCTTTTTTATAGTCATAAAAAAACAGTTTTTATAATTATATTATTAAACACGTTGCAATTTTTAAACACATTTGTATATTTTATATTGAATTGTAAGGCTTTTATATATAATCTTTACAACATATTTTAATATATTTGTATTAAAAGACTCGAGTAATCATGTAGCATGTAAAAGCGAATTAAAAAGATTATTTTTTATATTCTTTTTACAATATTTTATGATTATATTGACTCTATACAATTGTAAAGAGATATCATTTTTCTTGTAGATAGACGGACTAACCGGCAATCGGATGACATATAAAGAACTACTCCAGAAAAGCGTGAAGTTCGCGAAGTTTTTACAAAAGAGCGGGATAAAAATCGGGGACACAATTGGCATTGCAACTGAAAATCGATTGGATTGGTTTATACCAGTTTATGCGAGCTGTTATCTCGGTGCTATAATTGCACCGTACAATCCTATGTACACAGAATGTAAGTAAAAGTATTATTATATAACATTTATATTATATAACATTTACTGTATTGCATGTTATTTATAATATATGTATATATACATGTGTACATATTATCAGTATTTTGCATACTGTCTTGCAAAACCAGTCACAAATTTTATATATATGTTATCATTAAAGTCCATAATTCGTTAAAACGTGATTTTACTAGTTAAAATTGGTATATTTTAAGCCGATGCTGGAAGGTCGGCCAAACTTGCACGAAGTTTATAAAACAGACTTTTCAATTTCATATTTAAATGTATCTTTAAATAAACTTTTTACAATATCGTTTTGTTTTACTCAAACATGTACATTGTCCTTATATCTAACATATTGAAGCTCTTTGCAAAGCCTTTTGCAAAATCCGGCACTTACTACTAGACGCAATTTTTGCTCTGTTTATCATTCTATATCATATTAATACGTGTGTTATAATAATAACAAGTGTAACTTATGACAAATAAAAACAAGTAAAAACGTCAATTGATTGCAAGCGTTTATCATTTAGATGAATTGCAGCACATATTAAATATCGCGAAGCCACGTATTGTTTTGGTATCTCAGCGCACCGAAAATCTTTTCGCTAAGATTCTACCGAAGTTATCCTGGAAAATGGAATTAATACAGCTGGACGATCAATCACTCACATCAAATGTCCGTACTTTGACAAATATCTTAAATAACGAAACGGATGTAGACTACATGAGATACAAGCTTGCAGAAATCGATGATCCCAGTCGGCATCCGTTGATGATTCTCTGTTCGAGTGGCACCACGGGGTTGCCGAAAGGAGTGGCGCTGTCTCATAAAAATCTAATGGCGTTTTTAACAAAAATTAGGTAAGTCTTATTTATATATCATTTTTTAACTATTTGTTAATACACTTTTAAGTGGTAATGAAATTAATTCAAAATGCATTTGATTAAAACGCGGATCCTTAAATATTAAATATAAAGAGTGATTGTAATTTAGCACAAAATATAATACCATGTATAATAATTATTTTCAGACAATCTTTAACTGTACTGTTAATTTTACTTTTAATCTTACAATTTATTTGCGAACTTTGCATGTACAATAGACCGAAAAGACAAAGTGTCATTCTTTCGCTTAAAAACAATTAAGGATTTGACAGAAGACCAATACGATCATAGCAAGATCTTGGTGCTTCTAATATTTCTATGCGATTTTACATACAAATTCTAGTTTCAATAAACTGCGTGCCGTTACTTTCAAATTCAACACAGCTCTTTACTGAAAACCGAACTGTATTATCATGATTATTAAATTGATGATCAATTTAATAAATACTGCCCAACGGCATCTAATAAAATCTCGCCTACCCCACGATACGGTATAAAGAATTGTCGTAAGGTGGGAGGAATTTTTTAGATGCCGGTGAGCAACAGTATTATTAAATTAATTATCAATATTTAATAATCGTGATAATATAACAGTTCTGTTTCAAGCAAAGAACTGTGTTGAATCTGAAAATATAACAGCACGCAGTTGGTTGAAACTAAAATATGTATGTAAAATCACATAGAAATATTAGAAGCACCAAGATCCTGCTATGACCGTATTAGCCTTCTCTTAATTTAATTTGTGTTATAAATAGACGGTCAGAATATATATATATATACATATATATATATATATATATATATATATATATATATTACGATCATCTATTGTGAATTAAGGGAATTTGATTTTATAATTCAAATATGATTTAAAACGCAGCGTACCCGAGAACCTGGACACAAGAAGCAATGATAGAATATTGGTACTGGTACCGTTTTATCATGTTTACGGATTGAGCTTGCTGTTACTCGGTCTTTTCGCTAATTGCACCTTGATCATAATGTCCGCCTTCGAGCCGAAACTCTTCCTAACCCTGGTGCAAGAATATAAGATCACCCATCTGCCGGTGGTACCGTCAATTCTGACGTTCTTGGCGAAACATCCGCTGGTAGATACGTATGACTTTCGCAGCGTGAGAGAACTCTTCTGCGGAGCGGCACCGCTTGCAAAGGACGTAAGTTTTCTTTTATCATTATGAAGTTGATCGTCCACTTTACCTACCAAACTCTTTTCCACATCCCCCTTGTCCAAATTATCACGGCAAGAAAAGCAGCCATCGGCGGAATTAACAATAAGTGCCGGAAGTGAGTCCTCGATGCCGCGGCTGCGGTGAGAACGAAAGACTGCGAGAGGAAGTCCCCGGGAAGTCATCGCATTTTCATTAGATATATATAGCCTGAGGAGTAACTTTATCGCGTTCAGTTTTGTTTAACCGGTTCACAAAATCGCTAAGGAAGAGTAGGAGGAAAAGAAAATAAAAGGCCGTAATTTTGCGAATTTCGCAATCGCGTTTTTCGAAAAATGCGAAACTGATCTCTTATCGGTGGACAGAGTTTCCCAAAGACAGAAAGGGCAAGAAAGAGTCTATTAAAGTTTTGAAAACCAAACATGCCTCTGAACTTAATGTCTGAATGCCGCTTTTTAGTTAGATATATTGTTGCTTTTGTCTATTTATGTGATTAAGATACAATTGCGGAGCAAAACAGACATTGAAAACGATAGAAAGGACGTTACAAAAAGTATGTTAATTTTTATATTGAATGAAAATACTGAAAATACTAAATTCTATTGCTGTAACAGTTAAAAAATTTTGTTCTGATGAAACTTAAAAATAATCATATCCTGTGACGGATTTTGAAAGACAATACTAATAAAATAATTAATATAATTGTATAACATTTTTAAAGCACAACTACTTCGCAAGTCGTTAATGTTAATTCCATTGCATTAATTAATTAAACAAATTTAAAAAAGTTAATCCAATGTTGGCGCAATCAGTTTGAAAATACTGAAAAAAATTTAAAGTAACTTAATGCCTTTTATTCTCGCAGATTCTAACCGCGGTGAAGGCTCGTATCGGCATAAAATGCGTTCGTAACCTTTACGGCATGACGGAATTGTCGCTATTGGGCGGTATGAATGGACGCAATAATGATGATGATTATGATGAATTCAAAAATCCAGGATGCGGGCGACTTTTCCCTGGTTTTCTCGGCAAAGTGATCGATCTCGAGACACAAGAAACGCTGGAGGCAGGCCAGGTGGGTGAGATCTGTTTGCTCGGGGAGCAAGTGATGTTGGGTTACTGGAACAACCCCGAGGCGACCAGACAGGCTATTGATCAGGACGGATGGTTTCACACCGGCGATATCGGCTACTTCGACAACAAGGAGAGACTACACGTGGTCGATCGCGCCAAGGAGCTAATCAAGTACAAAGGCTATCAAGTCTCGCCGTCGGAGATAGAAACCGTCTTACTGTCGCATCCCACGGTAAAAGACGCCGCGGTCGCTGCTAAACCCGATGAACGCAGTGGCGAGATCCCCGTGGCTTTTGTAGTGAAGCAACCTGGCGCCACGATTACTGCCCAAGACTTGCAGGAGTTTGTCAAACGTGAGTTGTCACTCAGCCTGATGTTTTTTGTCATTTCTCGCAGATTTATTAAAACGTTCTTAAATTAGAACATTATATATTATTTTAATTATTATGAAAAAGTTTCGGGTAAAACTGCACACTATTTTTAATTTTATTCCTTCATAATTTGCCACTTTATTTGTTACTTTATTTGACGCTTTTCATCGCACAATGAAAAATTTTAATTTTAGATCTTCTCTACACTTTAGAATAATAAATTTAAAAAAGCATTTCAAAATAAATTTAAATAATATTAGAGATATACGTATAGATTTATGATAAAAAATTAAAAATTTAATGAATAGCTTACAAGTCTTACAATAATATAGTAAATAAAGTTATTTAGTACGAATGCGTTATCGCATTAAAATTTAAATGAACAAGTAAAACGTGATGCCAGAAATGATAGAGTAGCAGCACTCAATGTTACATCATATTATTACAACGCTATATATTATTACATTGTAATGACATTGTAATAATATTAAACGCTGCGATCAAATTGTTAGTTATCCTCGCTGTCTCTGTAATTTAAATATGTGGCGCTGCAAGAGCGTGGAAATGTTCTGCCCTATCTTGACATTGCATTTTAGTAAACGCGAACCGAGCGACGATATGTATGTACATTAACCGAGCAGTTCAATTTATCTTGCAGAGAAACTATCGCCGCAAAAATGGCTGCGTGGCGGGGTGCAATTTGTTGATGCCATACCGAAGAATCCTGCCGGCAAGATCCTACGCCGCGAACTTCGAGTAATGATCTCTAAATTGTTGTAGTAAAAATCGCATGGCAATAAGCTTGCTTATAAGTATAAATTTCCTTCGACGAAGATCAAAGAAAAGCAATTGAGTTAACAAATTACAATAATTTTTAATATTTTTCATTAATTTATCGCCGAGAGCAAACTAACAATCGTTCGAACAAGTGCCATGGTGCGTATGCTATCAATAAGATATATTTCTGCGGTAATGAACGTTTGAATTGCGAAGAAGAGTAAGCGCCGCGATTTTCTTTCGTGAATTTACGTTTCGCCGCAAAAACGTAAATTTATTGCAGTTTATTGTCAGGTTGATTAATTCGTAAGTAAACTGTTGTAATAAGCGTGATTAAATGCAATCGCTCGATGAATCGGTGTTCCACCCCTAAATATAGCGGGACAGTACAGCGAAAGGGTGTTTCGAGTTATATTATACGATATCACTCTTGCGCCGATCTGCGGTGCCGAGAAAATAAGCGAAGAAACTTGTTGCATTGCACACGTCAACGAAAAATACGCGAGCGCGCGTGCATGTGCTCCCATATTCCATTAATTTTTTTCCTTTTTTTGCAATGTTATACAGATTGGACTTTTTATGTCGAGTGTCGTATGTTTTCCAGTGAGTCTCCGTAGTAATGTGGACAATATCTCTCTGTAACAGAATTAAGGTGATTTTGTCGCTCAACGCTAAGTCGATAGTGTGACGTTGTCATATATACGTCACACAATCACACATGATACAATCTATACGAAATGTTTTTATTGAATTATTAGTCGTATGGAGGGACTAACTTTTGACTGGGACTTGCACGATAAAACCACCTTAAGGCCGTGAGCATAGCACAAGGTGTCTAGAATAATGAGAATCTTATGTAAATCAATTTACTAATAAGCGACTTTATGCTGGATACTCATTGGCACAGCTTTTATGTTTTGCTTATGCTCTCTGTTATGCATTTCATGTGCTCCCGGCATAACTCTTTATAAATAAATAATAGAAGTTATAGCGTATCCCCACAATGATCCCGACTTACTTTGTAACCTTTCCGCATTAAATTATACCAGCGGCATTAGTCTTCCATTTTCCATCCATTAGCAAACTATCCATTTTGTAGTAAGTAGTACAAAAACTAATTTAAGAATAAGTTGCGATTTTTCAAATGGTCTTTCTGCTGAGATCCAAGCTGAGATTTCAGCTGTGTCGTGCATTACGAGTTTGAGTGTCCTTGACCCTTGTGTAAATAAAAATTTGGTCTCTCGTAGAATCTTTTTCTTTTTAACAGAAGCAAGTTGATTTTCGAAAAGGAAAATTATCTGACTCTCGTTCGTTATCTATTCTAAATGTATTCTGCGAGAGATAATTTATCATAATTGATAATGGTTGCTTAACGGAATGGTTAACCGTTATCGAAAAAGTTTGGCATAATTTGCCAGCGATTTCGACGAATGAACGATTATCGGTGTTTTTTTTATTATTGAAAAAAGTTTAATTTTACACAGACCCTCTTTTCTCTTTCTCTCTATCTTTGTCGTATACGATTATCCCAGATAGTCGTACATATAAAGATACGTATGTATGTACACTCGCTCACTAAAAGGTTGCGACACTTTCTTTTTTATAGGTTTCAAAACGTATTAATATTTTGCAAATGCGGACCACGATTGGTGTTATATT